TTGTTTTTTTCCTTTCTTGTTAATAGTTTTGACACTGACTTGCTCTCCGTCTCTCTTTAACTTTGTGTAGATGTGGAGTCCCTTCATCCATGGCTGCAGCCAGATGACCTCCAGTGACTCCACCAGAGGACCCCTGCAGGGTGCGACAGATAAGCCAAAACATTATGACCGTTCACAACCAATTCCACTAAATGCCTCAAAGTAACTGAGGGTGGTCTCTGCTGGCTCAGGTTACCTTTAGAAGTGCAGATCTTTATGGTTTGGAGCTGTTTGGACTAGCACTGTGTGTATTTGGAAGTTGGTTATAGGAATAAATATTAATGTACATTCTCAGTTCCTACTAATTACTAATGCCTCGTCTCTCTCAACACATAGAACCATCAGATTTCGATTCACTATGCAGTAACATCTAGAAAGAATCTGATTGTTCAGCTTCATTTATTAGCATGGAAATTATTCCAAATACACTGCATACCTGGATTGGAAACATACAGTTAAACATTATGAGTCATGGTTTGGCCTCCCCAGTAATATTATTGAAACTAGAGACTTTATAAAAGAGAGACACGAGACTCAACAAATCCTGAATATGAGAAGTTTGTAACTCTAATAATGGCCGTCAACCTCACCTGTCTCCCAACAGCCAATCATATTGTTGCACTGACATATATCCATTTGTTATGGAAGTAAAAAATCAGCTGAGTGTCCTTATTCCTCTCAGCTTCCTGTGTCTATGGGATGAGCCATGAGTCATTGATCATATCCTAACTTTGGACTGAGCTGTTAAAGAAGCTGTAATGTGTAACTTTCAGCATGCGTGGTAAAGGTATAAGCTAAAGCTAAAAAAAACTAACTCGTGCAATATTTATATTTATATCCTGCTGACCCTTGAAAGTGAGCTTATGGCTCTCATTCATCCATTTAGTCGCCTAGAGAATATGACCAAAATGTCTGTGGTAAGATTTGTTTCTATAAGGAGTTTGCTGTGACAGTTATATTTTACTCTTTTCAGTAGGGCAATATGGCCAAAAATATTTATCACGATATATATTTGAACATTTGCAATAATGATATAACTGACGATATAATTGACGCGAGACAAAAAACTTTACAACTCCGCAACTTTATTAGTGCAAAAAACCCCCATCAATGTATTTTTACTTAAACAAGCAGCTGTTTTTTTTATGTGCATTAAAGTTATATAAAAATGTAACAGTGCAAATGCAAATTCCTTGCTGACAGTTTAACCAAAAGGCATTTCCAGTGGAAATTGGCCGACATATCCTGAGCAGAACCATGTAAAATATCCACAAAACTTAAGGTTATACAGGTTATACACACACAATACGGTAATATTATGTTGAAGCACAGTATCACTCAGCGAGGCTCCTGACTACGGTAGCCATAATGCTCGGACAATCCATCAAGCGGTGTGGCTTCGTAGCTACCAAAGTTGTACTAAAACATTTTTTGACAGATTTTCGAGCGCTGTGTACCACATAAAATGGGTTCGAGGTCAGTAAGCACAACCAGAATTCATACATAAGGCACTGTCGATTTTTCAGAAAATCAAAGAATTTTAAGAGCGACTTAGATTCCGAAAAACACGGTAATAACGACGGGCCGCTTGCATGCTCTACCAAAAAATGTGCTTTGTTGTGTATCTGACGGACGAAAGCCAAACCAGTTCCACACCACTGAAGTTGCAGCATTTTTACAAACCAATTCTGGTTCATCCGTTTCATTTAACGATCCGCTTTCGCCCTTCTCATTCTCCGTCGCTGCCTTACTTTTTCTGCCATGTGCGTATGAAAACAAAGGCACTGCACATGCGCGTTTTACCCATATTCTATCGCCATATTCCATTTTGTTATCATTCCTTTTTTTTTTTGCGCCTGTCCCGTTTGGTTCTTTTGTCATCAGAAATCTTGTCTAAAGGTGAGGAAAGATGCCCAACGGATTTACTTTACCAAATTGACCATCCCAGCCTTGCTGTAGTGGTCTATTTGATTCACCTTTTATTGTTTATTTTATTTATTTTTTATTTTCACTTGCTAGATATGGGACAGACTTCAATGAGGAAAAGAAAAGGGTGAAAAGAAGAGGGGAAAAAAACAGTGGAGAAGAGGGACGGGGATAAAGGGCAAAAAAACAAACCAACTAAATAAGCAGACAAAAAAAAATACATATATCGATCACCTGGATCACCTGTTGAGAAAGAAAAAAGAAAACAAGCAGAAGAAAACGAGAGCAATAGAATAAACAACATCACGATGATATATGGGAATATAACAGTAGCTACTAAATATTAAACATTATTGTGCAGCACGTAATATCGACATTTTCTTATCATTCCTAACGTTATACCAGTATTATGAACTGTATGATATGGCCCAGCCCTACTTTTCAGTTTACTAATTTTCATCTGTTTGCAGTAAGACCAGCAATATTTCACCTGCATTAAATCACAATCATGTTTACATTTCCCTTCTTGACTGGAACATTTGGATCAGTTTTAAATCATATAACAAGCGATTAAATTACACAAGATCATGAGAAAAATCATGTTGACACCTCATGACCCTGATGAAGGCCACAAGCCGAAACGCGTTGGTCAATTATTAAAGTTGTTCATCTTCCTTCAAGTGTTGCTGGAGTTGCTGCATTGTGGCCTCTTTCACAGAAAGAAACCAAAACCTCAAACTTTTTATCTCATTAACTCTAGTGACCAAATATTTGGTGTAACATTTGAATTAGTTATGAAATTGCAGAAGAAAACTGTTGTTTTCTTTCCAAAGCACAGGCTGAATGAATCTCAAAGCTTTCTTTTCCTGCAGTGTTTTTTTTTTTTCTTTTAAGGTGACTTATATCAGAAATATTGAAACACACAAACAAATATGGCAGGAAATTCTACCAGGTGCTGTTGAATTCATATCATGCTCTGCCTAAACCAGGACGGGCCAGGGATGAAATATGCAGAATAAATCCTCATCTGTGCACGTTGACAGTCCCGATTGAACCTCAGATATCTGATGCTAAGATGAGAGAAAAATTAAGCAGCCACTTCCCTCCTATTGCCACTGAACATAAGCTAAATTTAGCTCTCCTATTTTTGGACCATCACCCTCAATAAAACACATGATGCCGTGCAGAGATGAAAGATCTGCTTCTGTCCTCATTTAGGCCGCAGATGCGCCCACACACTCATACATGAGCATGAATGATCCAACCAGTGACTTCATGCACCAGTTAGCTCATCTTGCTGTCACATGTTGCTAATAGTAACAGCCCAGTTTCTCACATTTGCCTTTCTTTCATTTTTGAATTACAGCAGGATCTGCAGCACTGCACTTCAACACTGTTAACGGCTTTAACTGCCAAACAAGATGTACTTTGATATACGTAATCAGATCAGAAACTGTATATGGCAGCCCACCCACTTCTCAACCAGTTCAAACAAAGAAAAAGCCACACTGAGATCCTTTTATGTTAATAATATAAATTCAAAAAGAAAAGAAGAGAAAAAACAATCAAATGTTTTCCACAATAATTAGAGCTGCATAGAAAATAAATTATCTCATGGAGTAATTGATATTCTGATTTTCAGATATTATATCTGATCCAGCATCCATATGTTGTTGATAATCGTGAAATGTTTTTGGTTTTTTTTAATCTAGTTAAATAGCTAAAACATCTGTTTTAAGTCTGCTCAAATGAATTAAAACTGACTAATAAATTATATTTTGCTATAAACAGTATGAGTGTACACAGTAAATGCATAAAGGCTATGCAGTGTTTGCTGCTGATGTTAGGATTGCACCTAGACATGACAGGCAATGTAGCTTATATGCACAATTGTATATTTATTGCAAGTGAACTCTTTAGGAATATATATAAAAGAGGGAATGAGTGATATCCCAGATAATTTGGGTAATGATTTAGAATTCACCCAAAGCAAGCAGAAGACCATCTGTGAATGCATATTATATTGAACCTTGAATAAATAGGCTACGGTAGCAGAAGACCACACTGGGTTTCACTGTTGTCAGCTAAGAACAGGAACAACAGCAAACTGAGGCTTCAATTCGCACAGGCTGAGCAAAATTAGACAACAGAAGACTGGAAAAACATTGCCTGTTCTGATGGGCCTCGATTTCTGCCGTGACATTCGGATGGCAGGTACTGAATAGGGTGTAGCAGTTAAGGTTGGTGGTGGTGTAATGATGTGTTCTAGGCACACTTTGGGCTCCTTAGCCATTGTCCTTTCCATTCTTTGCCAGTGTTTTTTTGATCAATTAAACTCTAATTAAATAGTGATTAAATGCCTCACAGAACTATCTTAATTGCTTGTTGTGAGTCAAGACAAATTACGGTTGTCTTGACTCACAGCAGGACTATAATTTAAGACTGCTGTAGTAAAAGGAGGATTGTGACTTCCATCTGCACTAATTTAAATTCAGTGGTAATGCTTTATTCTGGGACACATCTCTAAGAGCAGGAGCAAGACCCCCACCCCCCGAGGCTGGGGTGGAGATGGTTTGTAATGTAAATTTTGCAGATATGCAGGAACTGTACACAATCTGAAGCAGCTTAAATAGCGCGCCCTATATGAGATTTGCTAATTGGATGTGCGGAAGCTTATCAGCTGAGGCGTCAGCTGATGTGATCTGAGATTGACCTCATGATCTGCCTGAAACAGTACTGTGCTCGGTTAATATAGAACAGAGAAAAGCAGGAAATCCTCTCGTCTGCCAAACTGCAATCAGTGACTGTTTCACAGTTTTTACTTGATGAGAGATTTCAGCAACGTTTCTGACACTTCCTGAAATTGATGGCCACATCACGTTACCATCTTTTAGAAATGTTCTGCTTGTTTGGGTTGAGCTTAGCGCCTATGCCATCTGCATGTCAGAATCTATTAAATGCATGCTGGGAACTGTCTCCATCTCCTTTCTCTTCAGCCTGACCATCCATCTGTCCACCTATTTTTTATCTGCAGTCTTTCCCCTCCTTCCTCTAAGATCTCCCTCTTCCACTCGCCCTCTCATTAGAGCTGCTGAATTATTTAACATCAGACAGTGGGCTTGGCTGCTGAGCCAGAAGGAGATGAAGAGGAGAGGAGGAAAAGCTGGAGAGACGGAGAAGCATGGAGGTGTCCGATACTGCGGGAAGTCGTGAGTCAGCAGGGAGAGAAAGGAGCAGTGGGAGGGAGGAGTGAAGGAGTTTATAGATAGCTTTAGGTGATACGACAGGAGAGAGTGGCGTCAAATGCCTCCCGGTGCGTTTGTGTCCGTGTTTGTGCATGCGCGCATCGATTGAGCGGAGAAGGTCATGGAGCTGAGAGGAGATTAGCAAACTAGACTCGGAGTAGGGGGAGCGCGGCAGCAGAGCTAACGCCTCCTCTGAATAGCGCAGAAACAGGAGGGCTCAATACAAAAAGGACAAGAGGAGCTGTTGCAGTATGGGGGAGAGCTATATGTACCAGCGACTCCCCTACACCAGAGGAGAGGGGGAGGGGGAGGATGAAGAGGCGGGAGACAGGAGTGTCGGTGGACAAATGGTAAAGTCTGAAGTTGTGGGTGGATGTGCAGCATCTCTTCTTCTCTGGCTGTAATTACACTATGTCTGTGTCTTTTTGTTCAGTGTTTTTCTATGAATATAAGTGTGGGTGTGGGGATGCAGGTGTATTGATCTTGGGTCTAATCTTACAACAGACACCAGATTTCATTTGATGTCTGTTTAAATTATTTAGTATCCTCATGGTTTAAAAAACAGTGTCTACTTTGTGAACCCTGTAACTGCACCAGTTATAAGTTAAACCAAAAAACTTCATTCTTAATTCAGTTTTAGGGTCTAAAATTACCCAACAGCAATTGACTATAAAGCAATAAATTAACAAACAAGCAAACAAATGTATTCCTGCCACTTAATTATGGAAGCTTGTTTCTGCAAGTCTGCAGAGGTAATATCAAGTTAATTTGGGTTATTGTCTCAAAATTTCATGTCAAAATTTTGACTTACTGATTGAGTATCTCAAAATTTAAAGTTACTTTTGATTAACCTTCCTCTCGTGTTAGCTTTCTGTTATCATCTCTTATGTTAGCGGGTCGGTTTTGACCCGTGAATTAAATCAGCTATAAAATATACTAAAAACAATAAGTTATCATCCAATTTGTTTCTCATCTCTTGGTTACCTTGTTAGGCTTCCTTATCCATGAAAATGTTGGTTTTAATACTTTTGGTGTGGGCCTCTGGGTCTTTTTTTGTCACTATACCCCTCGATTTCAATTAAAAAAAAATTGTAAAATTAACCTCAAGAGAATCATATTAATAAATAAAAGGTTTCTGTGTTACCTGAGTATTACTGAGGGGTATAGGACACATCTCTTAAATAAATCTGTTTTATTGATTTTTTTCATTTTAAGATTAATAACTAAAATGACATCGATGGTGTTACGGGTCAATTTCGACCCATAGACATTTACATCAAGAAAAGACAAAAAAAGTTTGTTTTTTTTCAGCAGTAGACCTTTAATATAAACTGAAAAAAAGAAAAAGTCCACTCCTCCTTTGTTTTGGTTATAGCTGTGGGTAATTGTGGGCTTTTTATCACTTCCCAATGATACAGCTTCACCTCAGTTTCCTTTGTGAAGTTCTTGTCCAAGGTCATATCTGGTAAAAAATAAAATAAAATAAAATATCACAGCTGATATTGTGATCCTGCAGTCCAGTGGTCATATGGAGGACCACACATTTTCATTGTTTCTTCTCAGGGGTGCCACTCGCAGCTTTGACTGTGAAAATCTGTACATTCCAGGCATAGTTGGTTTTTGCATCACAGGCTTCCCAGATTTTTCTGCCGTTTTTCCCTTGCTTACTTGGTATATATTGCCGGAAGGGGCATTTTCCTTAAAAAGTGGACAAGACGTTCATCCACTGTCACTGGCCCTGGGATGAACATCAGTGGAAGAAGCTGCACCCATCTCTCCCAGACATCCCTGATGGGAGCAAGTTTGTCAGACCTCGGTCTGGTCTCTCTGTTGTCAAATCTGAGGACTCTTGAATCAAAATGATATCAAATGTGTGAAGTGACATCGTTGCCCAGAAAATGTTTCTGCCTGTCGATGCATCCCATAGACGATCAGTGGCCTCATTGCAGCATCTGTACACTCCAGCAAGAACAATGAAAGCATCCAGGTATTCCTCATCATGTCGCCATTGACTTTTTTTCCTTCAAGGTTTATCATAGTAATGATGATTCTTTCTAGTGACAATGGCATAAATATCTCAAAACATCTCTTGATGTCACTGACTTTGGTCAGAGCAAACCTTGTGATTCCAGGGGTCATTTTGATGACATTTGCAGCAGCTGCCCTGCCATGTACATCATGAGGTACTGAGCTCCAAAAGATCTTACCATTTTTGGACTTGAATCTTTCAGCAGGAGTAGCTTCAGCACCAGCGACCTCCACCTCTGATCAGATGTGTCTGTGTCTTCTGGATGATAGTCCACATTGTCTTCCTCCTTAGAAACCTGCCCATCTGAATCGCTCTGCTGCTCTGTGTCCTCTCCTTCATTTTCACCAAAAATATGATCCAGAACTTAGCTCACTGTGAATCTTCTTCTCATTTTTTGTATGCTGCAAATTGTAAATGTGCACTCTGGAAGTCAAATGGCCACTCAAATAGTGAATTCACCTCACATGCCCGTGTTTATTTTGTTTTGTTTTTGTGCAGGTATACTGCAAAAAACATGCAAAATAAGAATCCCCTAAAGCTCATATGATTAGGAGAGGCGCTTGCTGTAAGTGTTTTAGCTGACAGTGCACTTATGATTTCAGTTTTGGCTTTAATTATTGCTTTATACTCATAATATTATACCTGGGTCGAAACCGACCCTAACAACACAAAGGTCATAATTTCAACTAGGGCATTTTATAATTTAGTGAAAATAATTTTTTTTATTTTATTTTGTAGAAATAGAGGTTCCTGACAAAGTCAAAAAGCCTTGATACAATAAACAAATGTATGTGATTTTTTTATGCATTTGAAATTTAAAATGGGTCGGTGCCGACCCTAACACGAGAGGAGGGTTAAGTAGGTCAACATTTTGAAATTTTAACGTACCTCTGCCTGGATTTTTTTGTTTTGTTTTGTTTGTTCTGGTTTTTAATTGTGAATGGCAGACAAAAGCCTTCACACTTAATGTTGCTTCCGTTAAATTTTAACTATTTTGTGTTGGGGTCCTGAATCCAGAGCGAACCTGCTAATGCTAGTCCAATGCTTAAGTCATGGTTCCACAATTGGGGCTGTTTGAACATGCGTTTGTCTATGGAGTGGGGATTTCAGCCAACTCAAACATGTTTCTGTGCTTAATGTGCTGCTCCCAAGGGTAAAGTTTAGTTTTGCAAAGAGCTCTATGACAGCGCTGTATTAATGCGTTTACATCTTTTAATAGTTTTGAAATATTAGGATGAAGCTATACAAAAAGCAAGAAGCTAGAGCTAGTGGTTGTTTACCTTAGCTTAACAAAGACTGTAGACTACAGTTACAGACAAATGCTGTAAAGGTAACGCTAACAAACACTCTAAAGATCTAATGAACATTTTGTATCTTTATTAATTATCCAAGAAAATTGTCACTTCACTTATTCTGCCTCAACAAACACAGAATATTGCTAATTAGATGCGATTTACTTGGATCTTTCTCTTTCACATAGAGCCTGGCTAGCTCCTCTTTTCTTGGCTAAATTAAACCACTGTTGGTTTTAGGCTTGACATCAGTAAGTGAAGTTTGTATGTAAGAGTGACATTAGATTAAGGCAAAGTAAATGTTGTAGTATATTGTCACCGTATACGGTATACAATTAAAGCAATTAGTTAAGAGGAAATTGTAGTTTGCTTATCATGAAATGGTGCAAAACTGGTTTTAGTTAATAATTTAAAGTCTGTGAAAAACTTTAAAGGTCTTTCAACTTGTGAATCTGTGAATCTGCACATTTGCTGCACATGCAAAAATGACTCCTGCTTCGAGACACAAATTCCAGCCTTAAGGGGTCTCAAGCTAGTGTACTCCTCGTGTCTGCACAAAGCCTGGATAAGTGGGAGGGCTGCGTCAGGAAGAGCATCCAGCGTAAAATTGGTGCCAAATCAAATATGCAGATCTATCCACTTTGGCTACCCCTTGGGAAATAAAGGAGCAGCAGAAAGTACATTTTGCTGGGGAACCTGCAAAAAAAGATGAAACAGTAGCGTCCTAAACAATTGTCAGAAAATGTGTTTGTTGAATCTTGAAAGTCATTTTCAGGAGTAAAAATGCCCCAAATTTTCTTACTCCAGCTTCTTAAAATATGAGCACTTATTGTTTTCTGTTCTTGATGCTTTTCCAGATATCTAATCATTACATTGGTGCTGCAGATGTCACATCCCATCAGTCATTTTGGCTTTTCATAGCTGAGAGTAGCTCCTGCACTTAGAGCACACATTACAGTGTGCCCATTAATGGGGTCCATTAACATCACGCTCAGTAATGGAACAATTCAATCGCATAAGCAGAGCTATGTTAAAACTGGAGGCTGTTAACAGCACTGTATGCATCCTGATGCAGGTGAAATGTGTGTTTGCTGTGTAGATGCAGTGTGAGGAGGGCACAGAGTGGCTGCTGGAGCTGCTGACAGATGTGCAGCTGCAGCAGTACTTCCTTCGGATCCGTGATGATCTCAACGTCACACGACTCTCACACTTTGACTACGTCAAGAATGAAGACCTGGAGAAGATCGGCATGGGACGCCCAGGTACCTCTTTAAGTGTTTTTCACCCCAAACCTACGTGATAAACAGGTAATCTAAACAAATATCAGATGTGTCTGTGTGTTATCTTTTAGAAAAATACACTATAAACATACAATAAAATCCAGGTTTATTTGTGTTTGTATTTTTGCTGGTCCAGGTCAGAGGAGGCTCTGGGAGGCAGTCAAGAGGAGACGAGCCCTTTATAAAAGAAAATCCTGGATGAGCAAGGTGCAGTACCTCTCCTGTCCTGAAAGTTGCTCAAGCAAGGCTGCAATCTCACAATATGATATTCATGTATAAGCTGCATTTGTAAAAATGTCTGCTTTCACCCTCAGGTATATTTAGGAAAAGGAATTTTAGTTTGTATTGATGTGGCTTTGATTCTAATTTTATTTTATTTTTTCATGTTATGTCACATGGTCTATGTGTGTCTTTTATCAAAATAGGTTAATTTAGATTCATTCAGATTCAAATCAAGCGTGTTCGCATGCATAAGAAGTTTCTGGCCCTGCAGGTGTTTCCAGTGAAACGACCGGACGCTGACACACAGCAGCCCCACGGGGCATCGTCTGCCGCGGCCCCGGCCAGTAGTGAGTCAGGGGCCGCGCTCACCTGCCTGATTAGAGAGTCGGAGCTTCAGCTGTTTGAGCGGCTTGGAGACGGGACATTCGGGGTGGTGCGGCGAGGAGAGTGGACTGCACCCAACGGCAGAGTGGTGAGATGAAGAAACACAGTATGAGGCAGCTGAGAATGTATGACATAGAGGCTCAGGGTGTTTTTGCCCACAAACAAGCCACTTGGGTCCCATCTAGGCTAAGCATGTGGGTCCCATAGCAGTTTATCCCTTTTGGGCCTGTAAGAAATATATCTGTGGGCAACTCGTAGTCTCCTTGCATGAGAAAACCTACGTAGGAGGTAGAAAGGGCAAAGATGCCATGGGCTCTGTGTGCACACCAACTAGGGCCCACGTAGGATAAATGTGGGTTTGCAGCCCCACAGTTCACCCACAGCTACCCACTGAGGGCCCACACTGGCATGTTGGCTGGTATATTATTTATAAAAAAGAAACATTATACAAGGAAATGTGACTATTCTGGAGAAGATGAAAACACAGAACATGTTTTAGTACACAGTCAGAAATATGAGGCTGAGAGAAGGTGACTGATTCAAACCATTTTAGTAAAATGAATCTTATTGATATACTGAAAAAGAAGTGAATGTTATCAGTCCAATCTTTCATTTTCTGAAATATCATGCGTGTTCTGCGGCCCACTGTGGGTTGTGTGGGTCTGCCCGCAGCGAGGCCACACATGCCCCAAAAGGACACATTTGCTGGGTATTTGTCACTTCCTCTTAAGTTAGAGCATCCCATTTGAACTCCACAAAGTGATTTACTTATTTATTTTTTACAGAGGTTTCTCTAAAATCAGCTCTCCTTTTCTTTGTAGTTGTCAGTGGCAGTAAAATGCCTGAAATCAAATGTACTGGACTCAGACGGTCTGGATGATTTCATCAGAGAGGTGAATGCCATGCATTCACTGAGCCACCAAAACCTCATCCGCCTGTATGGCATCGTCCTCACACAGCCTATGAAGATGGTAATCCATGAGACACACACACACTTATAAGAGGGAGTTTGTCCTCTTTTTGAGAACTTGATTTATTTCCAACAGTCGATACATTGTAGCTGCTGAGCTATCAGATGTTTTCAGTGATTTTACGCTGAATGTTTCAGAGCTGTTAAGCTCAGTTTAGCCTGCAGGAGTTTCTGCTGCCTCAGGTCTGGCTACTTTAGAATAGCCCTGAATATAAGATCAGTGTTTCCCACACACAGAGGAAATTCAAGTACAAAAGAGTTCACACAGTCTACAAGTTAAAGATTTGCCGCTTCCAGATGTAACATATTTTTTAAAAAAGCACTGAAAAACAGTACAGACGGGATTATATATTTTAAAAGCAGTGCACAAAACATAAACACAATGAGCTCTGAGCACATTTTGTTTGTTGGAGTGTAGGTGACTGAGCTGGCTCCTCTGGGCTCCCTGTTGGATCGGCTCAGAAAGCGGCAGGGTCACATCCTCATCTCCTCGCTGTGTAACTATGGCGTGCAGGTCAGTTAATGCCGAAAGGAAAAAACCCCACAATGAAATTCAGTTTTATCACACTGTTCTCTCTATTAGATTTTCTTGAGTACAGTTTCCATAATATTTGTACATTTGTTTAAATTTAAATATTTATTTGTTGGAGATACAGCTCTATTTTATGACATTTCCCATGTGTAAGAATGCAAAAATGCTCCCATCTGTCACTCCACACCTTCTCCACAGGTGGCCTGTGGGATGGCTTACCTGGAGCAGAAGCGTTTCCTCCACAGGGACCTCGCAGCCCGTAATGTGCTGCTGTCCACCAATGAAACTGTGAAGATTGGAGACTTTGGCCTAATGAGGGCACTGCCTAAACACACCGACCAATACGTCATGGAGGAAGGCCACAAAATCCCTTTCCCATGGTGAGAGTGACTTTTTTCTGTCTCTACATACTATCTGTGTTTCATTATCTCAGCGTCTCAGTTGTTTTTCACCGATCTCTCCAGGTGTGCTCCAGAGTCTCTGAAGTCTCGCACTTTCTCTCACGCATCTGACACCTGGATGTTTGGGGTCACCCTTTGGGAGATGTTCACCCACGGACAGGAGCCGTGGCTGGGTCTGAATGGGAGCCAGGTGCATCTTTGAACAACCCTCTGACATAAAAAATAAAATAAATGAATTATTCATTAGCTTCAGCTAATCACGCCATTATTTATGTGTCGGTTTACAGATCCTTCACAAGGTGGACGTGGAAGCTGAGAGGCTGTGTAAACCAGACGATTGTCCTCAGGATATCTACAATGTGATGCTGCAGTGCTGGAGCCCCAAACCTGAAGACAGACCAACTTTCATTGCCCTCAGAGACTTCCTGCTCGAGGTAGCACAGTAGTTTAAGTAAAATACTGTCGATCGTAATCACTAAATGTGCTTTAGGAAACGATTCTTTGTTGGCTGCAAGTATGTATTCCATGTCTAAAGGCTGTCTTTGACTCTGCTGGTGACACTAACGACACTGTGTGTGCTCTGCAGACCATGCCCACAGATATGAGAGCCCTGCAGGACTTTGAGGAGGAAGACAAGCTCCAGATTACAATGAATGATGTTATCACCATCATTGAAGGAAGGTCAGTGTGTGATGTTTTGTTAGCTAGAACATGCCTGTAAGGCATCCTTTTAGCCTGATTTTGAGAGAGCAAGCAGTTTTTTAATCAGGTTAGTGGGTTTGAGAGTCGTGCTTATGTAAGTGCCTACTACACAACGGATCTCCCGTTGAAACTGGATTCCTTACATTGTAGAAAATTACTGCAATTATAATCTTATGACTTCCTTATCACATTAATATGCGTGTGTGCATCGTATATATTGTATGTCTGTAACTACCTAACTACTAAATTAAAACCCAGAAGTTGGCAATTAAGAACGTGTACTGCTACAAGAATGCACATTACTGTAGGACAGTCACCACGTTGTTTTCATACCTGTTTGTGTGTTTTCAGGGCAGAGCACTACTGGTGGCGAGGTCAGAACAGGCGCACACTGCGTGTCGGTCAGTTTCCCCGTCATGTAGTGACGTCAGTCGCCGGTCTTTCCGCCCAGGACATCAGCCGGCCACTTAAACACTCTTTTATACACACTGGACATGGAGACACAGACCCCCAGAGGAGCTGGGGACACGCAGACCGCATAGACAGGTTAATGATACAGTACCTACAGTAATGTAGTGTCATACAGTGTGCTTCGTCAGATGTGACTGTGCTTTCTGCGTCCATGGATGGCTCTAGGCTGCTGGGCTAATGTTAGAGTCCCACCACAAGTCCAGAACGCAGAAATAGAAGACTGGAAAATGAATCTATTACAGAATAGACTCTTCTTTAAAACAGGTTAGGAAGGAGGATTTATAGATTTGTGTTATTTACATTAGGATTCCACAATGATAAGGCAGGAGAACAGATAACAGTTCTAAAAAAAAAAATCAGTTTGAAAGAAGAAAAATCACATAAAGCCAAAGCACTAAAATTGCGTTTTAACTGAAACCATGCATGTACTATTTTAAGACTGCCTATACTGCAGCTCCCCACTAGAGGGCAGCTGTGTATCATGCATAGTTTAACAGATGTTTTGCTGTTGAGCTTTAGAGGATTTTAGAAGACACGTCCACATCACTGCACTGTTTGCAACAATAGAGGAGTAGTGAAATAATTTTACTGATGTTCCAGTTCCTACAACGGGATTATTAACATGTTATTAACAAGTATGTTTATTAGCTTCAACCATCTTCAGTATGAGTTAAAGGACAGGACTTGGACTTATTTTCAATTTTAAACTTTTATTACATAAAAATGATTTTCTTTCCTTAGCCTGTACTTGGGGAACCCCATGGACCCTCCTGATGTCCTGGGAATGGATTCAGGCATTGCGAGACCGACCAAACTTCCCAACCGTGCCAAGAGTAAATTCATTTGTGCCGTGAGACTGTATTTTTGCTGAATAGTGATCTAACTTTTCTGTTACACCGATGCATGTCAAATCGAACCTAAACGCCTTTGTCTGTTTTTATCAGAGCTACCTCCCCCTCGTCCACCCCAACCTGCCGTTCTGCTCAAGAGTGAGATTTTTTCTTTAATCCTTCAAACACATGCATGTCAGTAGAAGCAATTATCTAAATCTAGAGTTTCATGTGTGTCCAGAGCCGTTCTACGACTCTGTGATGGACGATTACGATGACGAGGAAGACGCCAGCGCGTCGTCTGGGTTGAAGAAGCTGGGAGCATCCCTAGGTCTGAAGCTTCGGCCGTGGGAGGGGACAGGCGTGCGTTCAGCCAAGAGCGAGGTGTCGCTTATTGACTTCACCGATGACAGTTTCAGCTCTACCACACCTTCTCCGCTCACTGAGTCTCGGCAGCTGGATGAGGACACCCTAAAGGTAGCTCAGACCTGAGTCAGACTGTAATAGTTGATGCTCTTACCCTCATTAGTAAGAGATTTTTTTTTTTAACTTCACCTAATGTGACTTCAAGACTGCATTGACCAATATGAGTCCCATTTCCCCTTTCATTATGGCCTAGAACTGTCTTTTAATGAACTGTTGAGGGTTGATCAAGCTGAGGTTGGCATGATTCTTTTCTTTCTTTGAATGTCACCCACTCCCTGAGTGGAACCATCCTGTAATCACAGCAGAGGGGTCTTATATTCCCAGCTCATCTGGAGAATTAGCCATCTGATCTTTTCAGTTCACCCTCTACAACTAAACAATGATTGTGATGTAGTTCAAAGGTTTTCAAGACACGAGGGACCTTACACGGCCACATGCATGGCAGTATCCTCAATCAAGTGTAGGTGGTGCACACACAGCTTGAAATCTTTGCCAGTACTCACAAATGATGAGCTGTCTTGTTTCCCAGAGACAGTGGTCCAACCTTTGGCCTAGAAATGTCATAAATAACCCCTTCCACTTGAATTCACCCAAGGCGCGTGCAATGTGATGGATGATCAGTACTTATTGATTGATAATGTACACGTTCACGCTTTAGTGGTCTTCAGCGGAGTTGCACAGCAATTCCACCTCATACCTTCAGTCTGCCTTCAATCATCCTGACCAAGCTGCAGCTTCATGATATTTATACTGAAGTTTTTGAAGTAAAAGTAAAATTTATTTATATAGCACTTTTTAAGACAGGAAGCTATTACAAAGTGCTTCACATGGGAATAGAAAAGCATTTCAAACAAATCAAGTCACTTTTAGTGTCACGTCACATTACTGGTACACTGGTACAGCACATGTGAGCAAGCTTCACAGGCAACAGTGGTGTGCAAAAAATACAAGAAACATAAGAAACAAGCCAAATATAAGAGCAGGAATGTGAGAATTATAAGAATAAATATGTACAATTTTAAGGATGTATGCACATTAGTAATATCTATGCCAAAGTGTGTGTGTGTGTGTGTGTGTGTGTGTGTGTGTGTGTACACATACATATATGTAAAATATACAGAGGTCAGCAGTGTGAATATTGTGCACAAAAATGGCATATATGTACATTATGGAGTGCATAGTGTTGAAGTTCCGGTAGGTGAGAGTGAGGTGTCTATGCAGTGTTCAGCAGTCTGGTGGCCCGAGGGAAAAAGCTGTCCCTCAGTCTGCTGGTTCGGGACGGATACTGCAGTACCTCCTGCCTGACCGAAGTAGTTTGAACAGTTTATGGCTGGGGTGACTGGAGCCTTGATGATCCTACCCACTTTCCTCAGGCAACACCACCACCTCCAATTATCCTTTCAGAACACAGCACCACTCTCTGGAGAGCTTTGCAGTTGTAACCGGTGCTGTTGCCATACCACGTGGTGATGCTCTTAATGGCACAGCAGTAGAAGGTCCTGAGGATGTGGGGGCTCATGCTGAATCACTTCAGACTCCTGAGAAAGAAGAGGCACTGCTGCGACTTCTTCACTGTTTTGTGTGTACTCACCATGTGAGATCCCTCGCCAGATGTCGCCTAGGAAACGGAAGCTGCTCACTCTCTCCACAGCAGCGGTGTTGATGGTGATGGGAGTGTGTGCTTCCCTACACCTCCGGAAGCCCACTATCAACTCTTTTGTCTTTGTGAGTTTGAGGGTGAGATGGTTGTCTTGGCACCAGTGTGTCAGGGCGCTGACCTCCTCCCTGTAAGCCATCTCATCACCTTTGGTGACCACCACCACCAAACAAACAATATAACAATATTGAATAATTGAAACTTGTGACTAAAACAAAACTCTAACCCTGGAGGAGGTGGACCTTAATAGGTCAACCAGAAATGACCACTTCCAACTTCTGGGTTCTGTAATAGTTCTTTAAACAGAGCTGTACTGTTAGCTAAACAAGGTTAACTTAATATCTTGGCTTGAACATTAAAAAAAAGAAAGAAAGAGGATATCCAGACCTTTGCAAAACAATTTTTCAGGATTTTCTGGCTGAAAGTCAGGTTTTATTGACCAACAGTGGGTAACTATGCATAAATAAATATAAATGCAATGATGATTTGATGGAAATCGGTGCATTTTCTGGTTATTTCTGAAGAATTAATAACGACATATGTGAGTAATTCAAACCCCAGTGAACACAAAGAAGTAATATTACTGCAGCAGTGATGATTTCCTTTTGGCTCTGGCTCAAACTTTGTTTTTGTTATGCAGGAAAAATCTTAATAACGTTGGATAACTTTTCCTTGTATCTATTTGTCTTCTCAGGACACTCCCTCCATTCTGGACTGGCCTCTCCCCCAGCCAGCGTACGATGAAGTTACTGCAGAGGCTGAGGATCAATCAGAGGACCAGGAAGTGCGGTCCATATACAAAGGGTTGACTGAAGAAGCTTCTTCATCCGCTGGTGGTGGCTTGACAGGAAGGAGCGAATCCCAGTCAGCTGACCTCTTCCAGGAGCTACAGAGGGAGGTAGTGAAAGCTGTATTAATGCCATTCGGGATCGATTTTTACTTTTAAATTATCACCCAAGCTAACATAAAGCTGCTGTTTCTCTGTTGATGTAGGTGATGGTGAAGCTGCAGGTTCCAATGGCAACAGGCCGCTCCCTCCCCTCTTCCCCACTCCCCATGCCTCTGGCTCCTTTGGGCCCGCACCGACAGATCCATCTTCCCCCTCCATCTCCCTCGTCTGCCTCCTCCTTTGCCTCCTGCTTTGAGGACAGGCCTGTGCTGCCTCCTCGCAGTCCCGTCCCTCCTCTGCGTCCCTCCAAACACAACCTCTCCGCCCGTGCCATAAACCCAGAAGCACGCACCAGCTCCATTTCACTGGGCAACGAAGATGACACACCCCCTCAGATCCCACCCAGAGACCACGCCTTTTCTCAGCCAGGCTCCCGCTCCTCGTCACCTGTAGCATTGCCACCTCCTCCTCTCGCCGTCTCGCCCCGTCGGGCATCGGGACTGCTGGGTCCACTCCTGTCCTCCAACTCTCCATCGTCGTCTTCCTCTTTGCCTCAAGCTTCATCCCATTCCTCACGCTTAGGACTTCCTGGCTCATCGTACTCCTCCACGTCCTTACTGGATCCACTCGCCTTTCGTGAGGGGCGTGGCCTTTCCTCACTGATTGACAGTTCGCAGAGCTCTGCCCCCGTCCCACTGCCGGAGAGACCAGCTTTTCTGGAGAGGTGAGTTTTTCATGGAGGCAGATTTTTATGGGTGGAGAGCAAAAAACGAATTTGTTCCCTTGATAATTTATATTTCTTCCAGAGCATATATGTATAAACAAAAAATAGTCCTCAAATGTAATGTTGGGGTAACATTATATTTTTGCCAGCTCAGTGTTAGAGATTTTTATGGCTCTGACATCAGCACTGCACCCTACAAAAAAAAAAGAGGATTTGAGGACTTGATAACATGGGACCAATCAAGTGAAATGGTACACGTTGTGTTTGTGCATGTGAGGGATCATCCAATTAACCCCAGCATTGCGTGACACTAACTAAATGGCACGTGTGCTCCTTCTTCAGCGCTTACTGACTTTACACGGATATATTTATTTCCAAATTTCCCACAAGGTAAATAACAAGTGAAAAATATCCACTATTATGTGAATAACACCTAGGTTGAAATGTGACATAATTTTTATTTATTATTATTTATTTTCATGAAGATCAGGAGCTAAAGTGAATCATCAAATCACTTGGCATGAGGCATTGCTATTTTATTAGCATTTGTTGTAATAGAATATTTTTTCAGCTTGTTTGAATTTGTCGTCAAGCTGTTGAAACAAAGCTCACATCTGTGTGCTGAGTTCAGGGGGGACCCCAATACAGAAAACAAGCAAGCTTTTAAACCAGATACCAAAGACAAAGAGGAGCTGGCAAGTGGTTGCGCTCACCAACCACTTGCCAGTTTGGACCTCATTTGTCCTTCATAGCATCCTTAAGTCTTCATACCATAGATTAACGAGGAGCTGGAAACATTCCTCAGATATTTGGGTCCATATCGACATAAAAGCATCACACAGGTGCTGCACATTCGTGATGCCAATCTCCTGTTTCACTGCATCCTGAAGGTGCTCTAATGGACTGAGACGTGGTGACTGTGGAGGCCACATTTTACTCATTTTCATTTTGCAAAATATACTCATGTATGCTGTGGTGTTTAAGTGACACTCATTTGGTGCCAAGAAAATATAATCCACATCATTACACAACCACCACCAGCCTGAACTGTTGATACACGGCAGGATGGATCCATGATTTCTGACCCTACCATCTGAATGTTGCTGCGGAAATATACTCCTCAGACAAGGCGCCAGTCTTCCAATCTTCAGTAATTCAGTTTTAGTGAGCCTGTACAAACTGTAGTGTCAGTTTCCTGTTTTTAGCTGACAGGAGTGGACAGGAGGTTTGACATGCAGTGACTTCAGAGATGCTCTTCTTCATACCTTGGTTGTGATTGGTTACAGTCGTCTTCTGATCAGCTCAAAGCAGTCCGGCCTTTCTCCTCTTACCTCTGACATCAACAATGCAATTTCACCCAGAGAACAAAAAAATCCCAGAAAAGAGCAGACAATAAGAGTGGGGCAGACAGTCGCACCGGCGGGAAATTAACCAAAAGTAACGTACAACTGGAACAAGATACAGAGGAATCGTAATTAGAAACTAATGAGAAATTTGACATTTTACACAGCATCCCAACTTTTTAAGTAACACAGTTATGAAAGCAAATAAAAGCTTATGCTAAATAAATGTTTTATAGTTGGAAAATGTCGTCAGAGACTTATTATTACGAGAATTTCTTCAGTGCAACAGTAAAATTTCAGATGTCATTCACAGAGAAACATCATCAGCTAAGGGGCGATGGTGGCTCAAGAGCTGGCAGTTTGTCTTGTAATCAGAAGGTTGCCGGTTTAAGCCCCGGCTCGGACAGTCTCGGTTGTTGTGTCCTTGGGCAAGACACTTCACCCATTGCCTGCTGGTGGTGGTCAGAGGGCCCGGTGGCAATAGTGTCTGGCAGCCTCGCCTCTGTCAGTGCACCCCAGGGTGGCTGTGGCTACAATGTAGCTTGCCATCACCAGTGTGTGAATGACTGAATGTTGTGTAAAGCGCTTTGGGGTCCATAGGGACAAAGTAAAGCGCTATACAAATACAGGCCATTTACCATTCAAAATAATTCATATGCCATATTTCATGTTTCTTAACAGATACGGAGCAGCCAACATGGCGGCAGTCAAACCTATGATGCAGCAGCACCCTAGTGGAGCCAAACCGAACACCTCCTACAACAACAATAACGGCCGAGCTGCAGCTCCCAGCATTCAACGGGAACAGAGCATCACACAGGTGAGGGAGATCATAAGGAATGTCACTTTTTCTATTAAAACAAAAAAGTCATAACTTTTATTTGTTGAGAGTCACAGAAATGACAAACACCGAATGCTGTTGTTTTCCACAGGCAGACAAATTAGAGTCACTGATTTCTAGATAACACATGAAAAGCTAAATTGTCCCTTTTTATTGAATTCACATCCTTTTATCAACAAAGCTTTTAATTGTGAGAATGTAATGCTCAAAAAGCTGCAGATTTGAATCATATTCATATGGTTTTAACATTACCTGAGGAAGAATAATATTAAAAAAGAAAATCATTAACTTTATTACTAATTTCATTGGGACTGCGAATTAGGGAAAAACTTCAAGGGGCTTGTGGCTAATTTAAAAACAGTTTGATTCATTGCATAAGTGACTGAGAGAGTTTGAAAAGAAGGAAACCTGCTCGTTTTGTCACCTCTTCTCTTTGTACAAGCATGGTAACAAATGTGCCCACGCAGAGTTACTCTCCGAAATAAAAGTAGATTTCTTTTCATGTGTATCCATATGACAGTTGCACTTCTTTAAAATGCAAACATGACGTTAAGTTTATTGTCTGATTGTCAGGTCCAAGGAGCTGTGCACGGTGTCACGATAGAGGAGTGTCAGGCTGCTCTGCAGAGCCACGAGTGGAGCATCCCTCAGGCCATAAACCATTTAAAGGTGCAACTGTCTGTCTATACACTTTCCTAGTTTATTTGTTGCCGTTAACAAAGAATATACAAATGAATCAGAGCGCAAAAAAGTGACATATTAACAGCTATTAAGTGTGTTACCTCTTGCAGTTACTGATGGACCATGAACTGCTCTGTAAACTGTGTGATCCAACATAGTAAAAAATTGAAAACAGAATTGCTGAAAAAGAAAAGAATCAATGTGTTGCAATAGCCGAAAGTCCAGACCTCAGTGGGAAGGTATGAGAGCTGTGCATAAATGAATGCACTTAAACCTCAATGAAGCAACTATTAAAGAAGAGCGGGCCAAAATTCAAGCTTGTGATGTCAGATACTGATAAAGTCCTACAAAAAGCAATTACTTCAGATTATTGCTGCTAAAGGTGTTTCTACAAGCTATTAAATCATGGGGTGTACTTAGCTTTCCACATGCTGATTCTACATTTTGGCTTAGTCTTGTCACATAAAGACAAGACTAATAATGACACGTTCAACCATAGAACTGAAAGAGGGTTGTATACCAGGGATTGTAAACACACACATTGAGTTAGGGAGGTTACTGATTGTTTTTGTCCTGTGCTTTTAAAGGTCTTATTATAATTAATGAAACTGGATTAAATTGTTTTCTTTCAATTTTAACATTTAAGCGATTCAGTGGCTCTGCTTTTGAGAAGTACATAGGTAGCTAAAGTTTATTGTCATCATAAAGGTTAGGATGTGGGAGCTTTTCTGTTGCTAAAGAAAGCCAGTGTTCATGCTGCAAAAGAGCATCAGAACAGCAAGAAGAGAGTTAAATGTAGTAAAAACAATGATGGTAAATCACGTGTCTAAAATGCTTCTTTCACCATCTGCGCTGTAGGTGGAGCAGCTGTTTCGGCTAGGGCTGCGTTCAAGAGCCGAGTGCGAGGAGCTGCTGCAGCATCACCAGTGGGACCTGGAACATGCCAGCACGGTCATGCTGGACACATACGGACCACATCGCAACAGGTAATCAACAGTAAATGGACAGAAAAGAGCGGATGCCCACTTTGTTTTTTGTAGTACTGAGCTCTGAGTTACTACTGTCTGTAGCGGCTGATGTCTCTCCCAGGTTGAAACCTGCTTTTAATGTGCCGCTAAGTTTGTCAGCATGACATGACAGCACAAGCACAAATGTGCTAACGATCCATCTGCTTCCTCCATCCTCCTGTTAGACTGCTGCTCCGGTTGCTTTTAAGGAAGATTTTATACACTTCTTAACCTGTGGCTGTCAAATTTCTGACTTGTTGACACAGTGAGAAAAAGAACTTGAGCTAAAATAATCTCTCAAGTAATTTTCTTATTTTAGATTTTCAGTTGGTCATATTGGAAAGAGTGTTTGTAAAAAAATAAAAAAATAAAACCTCAAGTTCTCATTTTTACTTTTATCTAACTTTATGGATTTTGCTTTTGTCATTCATTTATTTGTTGTCCACAGTAAGCGTCATTATATGTCAGCTCAGACACAGCTGACACTCGGCGATCATTGTCTCATCAAAGTAATAAACTTTTGTCACCTGCTACTGTCACTAGGGGGCAGTGTCAAAAGTATGTGGAACCGCTGAATGTGGGAGCTTTTTGGAGCCAGAGGTAAATTATCCACTAAGACTTGCAGGCTTGATTTGTAAAATACAGACACAGACTCCTGCTATTAAGTTTGCAGTAAGATAAAGTATCTGGATTTCTGTTTGTACAGTTGACTACACTGCAAAAATTAAAAAAGAAAAAAGGAAAAAATAACAGCACAAACGTGGTCAAGAGGAGGTCAGCAAGTCATATTCTGCTGTGGTGACAGCTAACAGAAAACCAGCAGCCTCGTAAAAATCCATCTGTCATTCATGCATCCCCAATAAAAATGTGAGCAGGTGAGCTTAGTTAGAAATATGAGTAACTGTGAACAGGAAATGTAGATGTAGAGGCAACATGTTTATTTGTTCTGTAAGTTTAGGAATTTTAACACACGATTCACTGCTTTTTTTTTCTAGCCAACCTCCAGTGGCCACTACAGGAAGTGCAGTTTTTGGCTTCATTTTTCAGCCCTGCTTAGAGCTTAAACACTCAGCGTTCAGCGATTGTTTGCTGTTGTACAGAATCCTAAACAAAGAAGCTGATATTGTACATTGTTTTTCTGCTTCTTAGGAAGTGAGAGCAGGAGGACAAATTGAGCGGCAGTCACCTTCTGACAAGCTCCCGAGCTCATCTGGATCAGCGCGCTGACACAGAGTCGGCAGGATGACTCATTGCTCCAAAGACCAGAGACGCTTTTTAATGACCATTAAAAAGCGTCTCTGAAGCAGCATGTGTGAATACCTGCTACTACCTGTGTCACTCGCATGTTCACTATAACCTAAAGGAGCAGCTGTTACATGATTCACAATATTTACTTGAACAGTTGTTATTTATCTTTTTTTTTTGGTTGTTCTTTTTTTTTTATCATTGCATTAATCCAGAGTTTGTTTCAGCTGGTAGCTGCTGCAGACGTTTTCTGGTTGTGAGGTTGTTGTAGAGGCCTGTGTGTGTGTGTGTCTGCGTGCGTGTGTGTGCATAAGCTTACTGTAATGTCAAATGGCTTTTTGCTGTCAAAAAGAATCAGGGAGGTATGAGCTGGCGTATAGTTGCACTTTTAGGAAAAATATACAATTAATGTTGTATAAAACATTTTACCGAGCATGTCAACAAAGATGCTAACTGCTGGTCAGAAGAACAATCTATCAGTGAAGTGAAAATGTTGATATGACTGAAGGCATATCAGATATTATTATTATTACTGTATTTTTGTGTCTTAAAGGTTCCACGTGGAGTTTTCATGTAAAAAGGCATTCAAAAGTCTTGAAACCTGCATTCTTCACATCCCAGCATGTCGTCGTCTTTCCTGCCGTCGCTGGCAAATTGCAATGTGAATCGTAAAAACTGCTTCATAGTGCTTTGAGAGTTCAAGAACTCCACAGGTTGCCTTTAAGCAAAACATTTCTGGCTTTACAACAGTAGGAATTCTGAGTGATGTCTTTAGTTTTTATTATAGGAATATTCCTACCTTTTCCTCGTGGATACAGGGTATTAGTCAAATCTCTGCACATTAGATATCTACTGCTACTTTAAACTCATGGTTATTATATCTTACTGTGATTCTGCTGTATGATAATCATCATGCTGAAGAACCTGTCATGCACTTGATTTAGTGGGCTACTGCTACGTGCTGTCGATGCCAAATTTCATAATGCGTGTGCAGATATTAAAAATTTTAACAGCTACATGGAAAAGTTTCTTTTTTTTTTTTTTACAAAAAAACAAACAACAAAACTGGAAAGTTAAACTTCAGACAGGTGGTAGCAGCTTGGTGAATATGTTTATAGCAGTCATAACTCAGTATGTGTGAAGCATTCAGTTAAGCTCAACTATGAAATCTGTTTAATGTGACACTGACTATAATGTACTGTTTAATCTGAGTTGCTTACAAATGTAAAATGCAAATATGGCCTTCGTTGTTTTATAATAAACTGTAATCTCATTTCTGAAAGCTTTCCTGTGGTTATTTCATTAGTTGGATACAGCGGGAAGACTGGAAGACACAAAGCGGAGATGGAACTCTACATATGTGGTTGGCAAAGATGTTAAGGATATGGAAGTCTGATTTTAATGGGATAAACTAATCCTTTGATTAAATAATGTCAAATTAACTGAAAAAATCCACCTAAAACTATTTTGTTTACACCAGAGCAAGTGGACCCTGAAGCACGATGTGACACTGGAATCAGGCTAAGAGAAGATGTAAGGGAATGGGAGCATGGATCCTGAGGCTGCGTTCTCCGAGTGGTAAAAGTGAGTGGGCAGGTATTAAAGGTATCTGATGTGTGGCCTCGACACAGGAAAGCCAAAATTAATCCCTGAGATTGTTTCCTCGGGGAAACACAAAGACCTAGAGGTTTCTCTAGGGAGCTTGATACCAGTAGTAGTGAGTGGATGAGCCAGCATTTAATGGGCCTGAGACAACTAGTTTAAGCTGAGACATGCAATGAATTATGAACACCGTTTGTAGGTGATTTGAAATGGGCTGCAGAAGGTATCACACTGCCAACTTCAAAACATCCAATGAACCTGGGTGACAATCTTTTGGACTTGGTCTTTGATGGAATATCCTTTCATGCTGTAGGAGGTCAGAACAGTCTGTCAAGCATTTGTTTTGGTTGACTCTCAGGAGTAAGGCTTCCCTTGCAGTTCTCCAAATCCTGCATGGAGTTGGATGGAGGGACCACCAAATTCTCCCTCCAATGCTAGGAATCAGGAAGGCTGACAACCTAAAGAACACTCAAAAGTCACTGTGTTGTGTGCATATTTTCTCCATGATGAATGAAAGCTCCAGATGGGGTTGCTTTCAGTTCTTGGTTAGGACCCAGTCGTGTGTTGTTTTTTTTTTTAGGTAACCCAGACGAAGCATATTCATGTGTCAAGAATAGAGCCGAAACCCTTCCACACCTTGAAGAGCCTTAGCCCCATATCTTGTCAGTGGGTATATACACGCTGTAAATTGATCTGGTCATTGTGAAGCCTTTTCTCACTGGCTGTCACAGGCCCAATACCCCACACTCTAGGAGGGCACCCCAAAAGAAGTGATTGAATGCTTTCTCCAAGTGCAAAAAACACATGCATGCAAATCCTCAGATATCCTCAAGAGTATAAAGAGTTGTTGCCAGGACATAAACCCCATTTTTCCTCTTCAATCCAAGGTTCGACTAGTCACCTTTCAAAGGATTGTGAAGCTGGGGCACATCCTTCGACCACGTATCTTAAAAGGTTAGCTAATCCAGAGACTCTGTCCCAGGTTAGCCCTACAACATCCAAGGACTCAGGGCAAATTTCATTCAATGAATTTATTCAAAGAGTTTATTAACAGCCTCTGTAACCTCAGCCCTAATGATGGGCGAGTTGGTCCTCTTCTTCCCATATTCCTGTACTTCCTCTACCAAACATATCTCAGTTCAGTTCAGGAGACCATTGAAGTATTTTTTCATTTGCCTCACTGCATTCTCAGCTATAATATATAAGAAATCTACATATGGTTTTATTAGAAAATCACCTTCGGGACCTCTATTATACATGAGTATAATACAATAAGTATCCATCTTTATCCATGTTTATGGCATATCTTCAGACTTTAGTCACCAGGAAATATGGCAATCGCAGTTTTAGAGTTCAAGTAAACCTGTCCAAGTATTCTATCTTAGTCACAAGCTCGCTTCCTGTATCTAATGGAAGTCTACTCTGCTTCCTCTGGGACCATCTCCTCTGTCTTCCCCTCTCTCTCACGCACACTCTCTCCTTGAATTGACTGCAGCTGCAGTGCATTGTGGTCTGATTGCCCAGTGTGATCCCTGGACAGCACCCGGACGCTCACACTGCACTTCTCAGCTACAGCAGTAAGCACTCTGTCACTTTCACCGATGATGAATGGGACACACACATACATACTGCACTCACGCACATACTTTGTGCCTCACGCACACACAAAAGAGGCGAGTAGAAACTGGGCTGTGGTGATCAGGAGGTGTCATCAAATTCCTGCTTAATATCACCCAAAATCACTTAATTTGATATTTGCTTATAGTGTTATCATGATTATGTAAACTTAGCTACAGCATTAGATAGATGCTTGATCGATTCATTGTTGATATGAAATGCTTTATTGTTGAAATGACACCCTTTAAGGGGCGGGATACATCAGGCAGATTGTGATCGTTCACTTCTTGTAGCTGATGGGTTTGGAGGATCTTTGACAGGGGATGTATTGTAATGGCTGTAGATGGCTGGACCAAAATGTCAGGTTTTGTGGGGTGTTTCTAGCAAACGTGGTTCAAGGAGTCCAAAGCTCACTGATGTGTGTGAGGAAAAAGGCTGACTCTGTGCTCAGGCTCCTGTCCTGAACACTGTGACACATGAAAATATTTCAGAAAGTTTCAGAAGGTGGCCAGTTTTTCTCGACACTAGTTTATTTACTCTGGCCTAAATCAGTTCATGAGTTTGTAAACTTGTATCTTTTCCCTCTGGTTTGGTTAGTTTTCAGACAGAGGAAAAGCCAAGCGAACTACAAATGAACCAAAATGTGTTACTACGTGAGAACTTTCAGTCTACTTATAGGCCAAATGTGTCTGGGGCAGGAGCAACAACAGTAAATACAGGAAGAAGTTGCTGTGTTCTGCACTACTGGAAAATTTCCGTTCATTGCACAGCTAGTTGTTAGCCTGTACGGACCTTTGCACATCTTTAGTACCTTGCAGCATCCCAGAATACAAAGCATACTGGATGAGGGAAGTTTTTTTTTAGCTCAAACCCGCACAGGTGATAGTCGGGTGGGATCGAGGTCAGACCACATTCACAACCTGAGTCTGCCAAATTCATAAACACTACAGCTCATATTATTTTGAGTTCTGATTCCTATTTAGATTTCTTTACTGTTCTGTCATTGGTTTGAATTCTTGGTTTATTATTTATTATTCTTGCTCCTTTAACTCTGTTTGTTTACTAGTTATCTTTTGGTTACTTCCTGTTTTAATTTGAAAATTTATTTTCTTCCATATCCTGTGATAGTTTTATTTCTCTGGCTTCCCTTGATTGCTCTCACCTGTGTGTAATTACCCTGACCTGGCACTTGTTCTTCCCGTTTCCCCAGTCATCCCTCGGTGTATAAATACCTTGTTTTACTCATTATATAGTAACCTCTCCTTATACACTGTGCAGCACTGTTTTATTGATCATCCATTTGGGATTTTCTTTATTGCAAGCTTATCACCAGCTGTTAGAGTCTGTTTTTAGTTGACTCCCTGTATATGGGTCTTGAAGTCTGCAGTCCATAGCTATCAATCAAAACCATCTCCACACAATTTTGGCACAGGTTTTACATTAGTCTGACACATCAGCAAATAATCAGACTAACAGTGCAATCTTGCCAACTAAAGTAGCTGCAGGCACTGGATAATTTTAGACATTATCTGTGGATGTGAAAATAAATATTTTATTTCCCCACAACATCATAAAATGCTTGTGCAAATATTGAGCATTCCAATGCTTCCAGAGTCTTGCTGCAAAAACAATTGATCATATCCATACTGCAGTTTTGTGGAGGTTTCCATAAACTAGGAGCTCACCTGTGCACTATACACTTCTTTGCTAGAGGCTCATTCAAGCACAGTCATCATCTCACTTGTTTTTTGTAAGCCAAGCATCCAAAATGTTTTTCTTTTCTTGTCATAAATCGAAGATGACCTCATTGTTTCCGTGTCAAATTGAGTCAGAACTTCGACTGTTACATCAATTGCTGTTATTTTTTTCCCAACTGTTTACTGAACCTGAAAACTTGACAGCTGTAGCAACAGTAACTAGGAAAGGCATTGATTAGCTGAACTATATATTTACTTAACCAAACAAGATGATTAATTAACTCAGCCAGAAGAACTAAAAAAAACTAATCAAAAAACTGTATTTCAGCTTTTTGATTTGTTGTCTTTTTTTCACTCTATAACAGCACTGTACATGAACCTGTGATTTACCTTTCAGACATATGATCAACTAAAGAACATGAAGTGTAAAATCTTTGTGTGGGGCTGTGCATTGATTTCCCTTGGGGCCTTTCAGACATTTGGCTCATCAGCAGACTCTTGCAGCCAATCGACAACCAGCTGGAGGCTGTATGTGAGACTGCTGGAGATTGATTGCTCAGAACTCACCTGCCTCTGCTCTACCTGACAGAGTGATCAAACACATGATGGATCAATACATCAGTTAATAGTATAGATTGACTACCTGGACAATTGACCTTCCAATAACTCTCTCTGTCCTCATCCAGGCCTCCCAGACTGTGGAAGCTGTTCACAAACACTCCTGACAAAGATGGAGAGGTCAGAGATGAGACTTTTTGTCATGTTCGGTAATGCCGAGGCTACTTCACAAATAGATTTTCCTTCTCTCCTTGTTCACTCGTCCCGTACATGATTGCTTCATATTTAACCTTGCGTGATACAGCAGGACTTTATCTTCCTTTCAGCTGTTACTTTAAGTCTGTCAGTGGAGATGTACTCATTTCCTCAACCACTGAAAAGCTATTTGTCAAAATTACCTTTAAGCTTCAATCACACGGTTCAATCCTTTTAAAAGAACACATTTCACTCAGACCATTTGACTGCATGTGGGAGGAAGAGGAGAAAAATGGAGGGGAAAGATAAAATATCACTTTTTTGTGTATGACAACTCATCTTCGCTCCTGCTGCACTGACATGCCAGCTCCTCCTTATTTTCTTCAACCTGCCTATCAACTAAAGATAAATTTCAGTGCTGACATGGGTGTAATTACCATGATAATGTAATTATCATGTTGGATTCTCCATATGCAAACTTTATGTACATATTTAAACCTCTTTGCTCACTTGTGCCTGTGACTATACATTGCTGCCGATAGTGGGGAGATTTCTAAGTGTAAGGACTGCACTGGACAATTTCTGTTGCTGTATTTCATTAATGTCAA